GTCTTTTCCCATGCCTATGTCCTGAATGGTATTAGCTAGGTTTTCTTCTAGTTTTTTTTATGGTTTAGGTTTTATGTTTAAGTCTTTAATCCATCTTGAGTTAATTTTTGTATAAGATGTAAGAAAGGGTCTGGTTTCAGTTTTCTGCATATGGCCAGCCAGTTTTCCCAGCACCATTTATTAAATAGGGAATCCTTTCCCAATTGCTGGTTTTTGTCAGGTTTTTCAAAGATCAGATGGTCGTAGACGTGTGGTGTTATTTCTGAGGCCTCTGGAAACCATCATTCTCAGCAAACTAACACAGGAACAGAAAACCAAACACCGCATGTTCTCACCCATAAGTGGGAGTTGAACAATGAGATCACATGGACACAGGGAGGGTAACATCACACTCCGGAGCCTGTCAGGGGGTCGTCGGGAGGCGGGCAAGGGGAGCGAGCAGCAAATCACCATGAAACATGTATACCTATGTAACAAACCTGCACATTCTGCACATGTATCCCAGAACTTAAAGTATCATCATAATAATAATAAAGAAAAGATTATCCTTCGACCCTTGATCTCCCACACTCCCTCATCCCCAACCGAAATGGAAAGTATTGAGCAATTACATGTTAATGGGGAAGAAACCAAGAAAATTTCAAGATACACGAGATAAACAACTCTTAGAATGAGTTTGCCAAGTACCCTGAAGGTATGAAATTCTAAGTACAACTGAAATGATTAGACTTTGACTTTAGAAGAGATATTTAAGTTCTTTAAAAGAGTAAAAGATTTCTGTAGAGACATGCAAATTTGTATATTTCATCACAGGAAGTAGGAGGTCCTTAGCTCCTATTTCTCCATGAAAGAAGTTGAAAGATTATTTGTTGAAAGTTATGGGAGAAATGCTAGATTTGGTGTTTAGGGGATATTGAATAATTCTACATGGTTAATAATATTGACTTAAATATTTGGTGAATGATTTCCAAAGAGCAGAACTTTGGAATCTGCATTAACTACTTAATCCTTTTAGATCATTTTGAAGGTTAAAATGTGAAGCAAAATGACAATAGGGTATGTTACTTTTTTTGTCTTTTTGTAATTATTTTTCTTTTTCTACTATATATGAATAAGAAAATACTTTATGTTACACAATACTTTTGTTTCTTGGAGATCGTCTTCAGTTTTTTTCCATTCCATGCTCATCTGAATATAGAATACACATTTATATGTGGTACTGATAATTTTCCAGAAGTGAATTATAGCAGATATTTCTGAGATCAAGGATATGGCAAATTGCCTGGTTTAAATTTTCATAAACACTGCAATAAAAACAGAGGATTTTTAAACAGTGATTTTGGAGTTATATTATGGTACAAACACAGAAAAAAGAGAAGGTTTACCAGAGAATAAACTAAATAAATATTAAATACAAGGACAGGAACTTGGAAAATGCTTTCTAATGCTGAGTAATTCACCTCATAGAGTACTTTCTATTTCTGTCACTGTCAACTTAACGAATGCGATATATCAGTTGTGGATGACATTCATAATTCCACTAAATTAATCATTGTTAGCATCTATATGTCCACTGCTTTAAACTTCTCAGCTGCTAAATAGATTTTCATTACAAATCCATTAATCTAAACCTAAATTTGAAGAGGCAAGTAACAAAATTAAGGTTATTTTGTGTCCAAAGCATAATTTTTAAATGTTCAAAGTAATTGTTTTTTAAGGAGAAAGTATAGTTGTTTAATCAATCTGTTCATCAATTTTCCCTGCTATATTGTTTTAGTGGCTTTAGTTGTATAATATTTTATTACTTATTATTTTTATTTATTTTTTTACTCCTCCATACCTAGAATATACAAATAACAGTGAGGAAGATAGAAGGTCTGGAGTAGAATGAGGACCAGGAGTAGGAGATGAGGGCTGAGGAGTTATCAGATCATGTGGATAATGACTCTGATTTATATAGTAAGATGATTGAAAAGCTATTGAAGAAAATTGAGCAGGGGAGTTTCATGATCTGAATTGCTTTTTAAAAAGCTTTATTTGGTGGCTATCTTGAGAAAGGAAGTATGAGGCTACATGCAGAAGCAGAAAGAATGGAGGCTATTAAAATAACTGAAGTAAGAGATCATGGTGGTTTTTGATCAGAATAATGGTGGAAATGGAGAGAAGTAACTGGATTTATTATGCTTTGTGAAAGGCAAGCTGATTTAGTTAGCTTTAGTTTGAATGTGGCATAGAGAAATAAAGAACTTAACATATTCAATAATTTTGGGAAGGATGGTATCGATATTTACTGAGGTGACAAAGATTGACAGAGAAACAGTTTTGAGGGAGAAGTTCTGAATTCGGCTTTCCAGTGTGTTAAGTGTGGGATGCCCTTTAGAGGTGTTGAGTAGGAAGCTGGACATGTGCATTCAAAGTTCAATGGAAAACTATAGGCTGGAGACAGACACTTAAAATTTGCCAGCATTGCAATTAGTACAAATGAAGTAGGTACACGGGAACCATCCAATGGAGTAGATCAGAAACACAGCAGGCAGCAGGACCAAATTTCAGTGCACTCCAGTATTGAACTTTACTTCCCAAATAAATTTTTTTTTCTTGACCTATTTAATAAATTTCCTAGAGGACTATATTTTATTATTTAAATTTTTGAATTTGCTGTGTCCTTAATTTATGAGTGTAATATATTCTTATTTTTTTCTTGAAGATAGTGATGACAGTAGTTTTTTAAAACTAGTATCCTCTTTTATATCTTACATTGGTTCCAGTTACTTCTCTCCATTTCCACCATTATTCTGATCAAAAACCACCATGATCTCTTCCTTCAGTTATTTTAAGAGCCTCCGTCCTTTCGCCTTCTCCATGTGGCCTCCCTTTTCTTCCATTTTTTTCTTTCCTCTGTAGACATTCTGTTTCTTAATCGTAATCTTGACTATTCCTGTTTTTCTTGTTTTGTTTTGTTTTGTTTTATGCCACTCTTATGTTCTTCACATGCCCAGAGATCTTTGATTTTTCCACTCACAACGATGAATGATGTGGATTTATTTGAGGTATTTGATGTGGGTTTCCTTTGCTGTTGTTCATAAAAATTTGCTTTCCTGCCTCCTCTCTCTTTTGAGTGGTACAGTTCATTGAGAGTTCTGTTGGCAATTGAAAGTTTTATTGATGGATTTAATTCCCTGTGGTTTAATGACGAGATTTCAGAAGTTAAACGGGGAGCATTCAATTACCCAAATGAATTCGATATTCTTTTGGTAAACCTAAACCAAAACTGGTTGCTTTTATTTTACTTCTACTACCCTCTGTTTTATTTAGCAAAGTAATTTATATTCTTCTGGTTAGGGATTAATGCCACATTGTCTATTTAACTACCATGATAGTGAGCTGGACTTGCCTACTCAGACTTTCAAAGAACTCTGTGGTATTTTCTCTTGTCCTCTTCCTTGCCTTCTGTGTGCTCTCTTTATGTTACCAGCTCTGAACATGGAGTCTCTCTGTAGTGTGTTGGGAAATCAGCTTCTACCATTATTGTAGTTGATTTCTAGTATACTTAGACTATGACATTTTCTGCTGTTTCCTTTACTATCCCTTCCTATCAGTTTATTGCCTTTGAGACAATTATTTCAGTGGCCTTTAGGTCTATAATTATAGATGCAATAATGGTTTAAAACTCAGGTAATGCATTTGGCAAGTACTTTCTTAAAATTTGCTTCCTCCAGTTATTATCTTTGTGAATTTAGGAAAGTTACTTAAGTCTCTTAAAAATATGGTTCACCTCGAGGCAGAAAGATCACGAGGTCAGGAGATTGAGACCATACTGGCTAACACGGTGAAACCCCATTTCTACTAAAAATACAAAAAATTAGCCGAGCGTGGTGGCGGGTGCCTGTAGTCCCAGCTACTCGGGAGGCTGAAGCAGGAGAATGGCATGAACCCGGGAGGTGGAGCTTGCAGTGAGCCGAGTTCACATCACTGTTCTCCAGCCTGGGCAACAGAGCGAGACTCTGTCAAAAAAAAAAAAAAATATATATATATATATGTATGTATGTATATATAGGGTTCACTTTTCTCTAGTGGAGGGATAATGATAACAATGCCTAACATATAGGATTACTGTTAGCATTAACTAAGGCAATATGTATCAAGTTCAGTTCTTGGGGACTAGCACATGCTTAATATTACTATTATTAATAACAACATTATGAGTACTACTTTTTATTTTTAAACAGATAGTGTAACATTGGCTTTTGTATTTTAATTTGTTATAAAATTACACACATATTATGTAATATGGATGATGGAAACACTTACCTACATAGGTTAAAATATATGTCAATATAATGAAAACAGCATATATGTGTGCAACTACATATTTTATATATTTATCAAATTTCACGGTTCTGCTGAAAATTTTTAATTTTAAGAACGATTGTGGGAAAATAATCATTGTTTGCATTTGTAGGACTTTTCTCACCTTTTTATTTTTTTCTGCAGCCATTTTCTATGGAAATTTATTGACAGCGTTTATAGATTTTTTCACATATTTTATCAGCCCAAGCAGTATGTATATACTTTTTTTTCCATTGCCCAAGTTTGTCTCTGTTACAATTAATATGCTATTAAACAGACATAAAAAAGATTACAAAGAATACTGAGGTACTAATATTCAGGATGAAAAGATAAGGGTTAATTGGTAAGCTTAGAAACCAGCTGGTCAATTGTTTCAGAGTTTGTGGAGGTAACTGAGTTCTGCCTAGTTTTCAACTGATGAATTGGAATTTACAGAGATTTGCTTATTTTTTTTAGAGGTTAGCATTTTTGAACTACAAGTATAACAATAAATGGTTCAACCACAATCATTACATCAACAACAACAAGCCTGCCAGAATCCACATAGGAATAAAGCAAAACAACTAAAGCTAAATGAAAGACTAATGTGGATTATCCTGTAACCACCCTTTATAGCATCCTGTGATTATAGTTTCAACTTTCTTTTTCAGTTTGACATTTGTCTTGGTCAACATAATGATGAAATGGAAGAACTGTCAGGCAATGTAAAGGAAGAATCCAAATCTCAAAACAGCAAAGACAGAGTGATTTGTGAGTTAAGAGCAGAGGTAAGACATTGGGTAAAGAGTGCCATATATATTAAAACATAACTGACTGTTGTTAAATGTCATACTACGTTAAGTAGGGTAATAGATGTGCCTTTGGTTACTTTATGAAAGTGAATGCTGCTGCTAATGTAATTAGCTTATATATGATTTAAAAGGCTGTGGAATGACATTGGCCCATAACTAGATCTGAGTTATTTGAATATTACTTACAGATGAAATATTTAACTATAAAACTATCTTGTAGCCAATACAAGTCTTACTGTGCACAAATATTTTTTAAAAGTTCAACCAGCTGCTGGATCATGTATGTTCATTTACTTTCAGAACCAATGACATACAAGATATGTGTCATGCAATTTCTGGTGGAATTAACATTGCTGTTGGCAGCTAACAACAGTGAGAGATAAAATAAATTCACTTTTGTTGTAGTTAATTCATTTCTTAGATACACCACCTAAGAAACATTTATTTTTCCACTCCTGCCACCACCAGCAATAAATGAATTTTCACAAATGTGTAAACTCTGAGTGTTTTTTACTGTTCTGTAGGTAAAAACAGAATTATTGCGTTTATAGAAAGGAGAAGGGAGTGAGTTATTTGTACTTCATAGAAAATAGCATGGTGGCATTAAAAATGGAAAATCACAAATGATTTGTCTTAGAACAGATAATTCTGGGAAAATAGCTTGGAAACAAATGCGTAAGAGCAATTTACAGACTGAAATGAATTTAATGCAACTGTAGGCTGGTAGAAAACTGATTTGTATTAGGTTTTCTTCCTTATATAACTCTTCAAATTCTGAACCAACACCAGAGTATATTTACATCAGATGAATATAGTGCAATGGGAAATATACAGATTTTGGAGCTAGAAATGGGTCCATTACCTCCTGATTACTTTATTCTTGTCAATGCTGTAAGCATCTCTGTGTGTCAGTCTCCAGATTAAAATAATAGTAATAATAATATTAATAATAGTCATGAAACAGGATTTTGGAAAATTATCTGCAAGATAATTAAGTATGTACTGCAAGAAAACAGTTTTCTGAGACAGAGTGCTCTAGTATTGAAACTTATAGTTAAGCTGCTTAGGAGAATTATATCCTCCCTGTGTTCCTCCTCATCACATCAATGCCATCCCATGACAGCTCTTCTATGAGTCATAAAAGTGGTGTTGGGGTGAGATGGCATATATCAAGAGGTCCATTATGAGAAAGGCTGAACTGTTGAATACAAATCTTCGTAAGTCAAAGAGAAAAATTGGTGGTGTTCGTAACTTTTGTTTTCTAAGAGGAAACAAACGATCAGGATAGATACCTCTTTTTCTTGACCCTCAGCTCTGAGAATCTTTCATTAAACATTGTACAACATGTTGTATAAAAGCTTATTTAATAGTTAACGGCAAAAAGGAGGAAGGCACATCTAGATATTTATTATAACTCTCCTCAAAAGCCAAGAACATTATGTATACACGTTTTTTAAAGACAAGTTTTAGGTTCACAGCAAAATTGAGCAGAAAGTAGACAGTTTGCACATACTTCCCCTTTCCCCCAGAGACTCCTTCACAACCAACATCCTTCATCAGTGCTGCATGTTTGTTTGTTATAACTGAGAAACAAACTGAGACATTATCAACCACAGTCATAGTTTACATTAAGGTTCACTCTGTGTTGTACATTCTATGGCTTTTGACAAATGCATAATAACATATATCTACCATGTTAGCATCATGCAGATGCTAAACAAATATTGTATAGAAATATGTTTTTTCGCAACTTGTTTATATAAATGTGTCACAACTACTTATGTTTACATAAAAGTACTATAATTTAATTAAATTTAATAACATTTAAAAAATTAGTTTATTATTTTTAGATATATAATCAGCACTACAGTGAGTATGCGTATGTATATAAATCACTGGATATTTAAAAATGGCTTATGATATATTCCTAGAAAATAGTGTGGCTTGGTCATTGGAATATTTATTTTTTAAATCTTTTTTACACATTTCCAAGTGTTCTATTAGAAAAATTGTATCAATTTACATTCTCACTGAGACTAAAATCTCTGAATATTATGTATAAAGCAAATATTGAAAAAGACTCAAAATTGGAGAAAAGAGGTATATCACCCAGGGAACCTGAGAATTGAGAAATGGCATGCTGTTGAATTTTCTGGGTTTTTGTCACATATATTCCAAAATTAGAACTGAAGAAGCCAGAAATCTGGAAACACCAATAGGTACAGATAAACACACAAAAATACCTAAAATGAAACACAACCTAAGTCTGCTTGCTCTAGCCAACGTACTAAGGAAGAGTCAATGTAGCAAGACGAAAACTTTAGGACAATAATGCTTGAATCCAGCCCAAATCACAGAACACTGTGGCCCCACCCCATGCCTGTTAGCTAAGGCCAGCTGTAGAACCTGGACTTCTACATACATCTGGAAGTAACAAGACAATGCTATCCTTTCACTCTCAATTGTGGTTTCATAAGAACCCACCCAAAACACAATGTTAGATAAAATCCAAATCTCATGACATATTTCACAAAGTATCCAGGATACAATTGGATATTACTCATCATACCTAGAACCACAATAGTTTGAAGTGAATGGAAGAAAACAATTGATAGATGCCAACACTGAAATGATAAAGATGTGTTAATTATTTGGGAAGGATCTTAGAGAGGGCATCATTAAAATACTTTAGTGAGCAATTGTGCATATGCATGAAACAAATAAAAAATAGGAATTTTCATTAAAGAAATAGAAGGTCTCAGCAATTAAAAAAATGCAAAGAAGGAACAAATGGAAAAATTAAAACTGAAAAATGAACCGAATTTAAAAAAACAACTTCTGAATGCAGAAGACAGAGGAAAGAGTCAGTGAACTTGAAGATAAATGAATGGAAATTATCCTAACTGAATGAGATAAAGAAAATAGGCTGAATTTTAAAAGTAAAGTCTCAGAGACCTGTGGGGTGATTAAAAAAAAATTACATTCATGTAATTTGAGGCCAGTGTGAGAGGAAAAATAGTGTAGGACTGACAGTACTAAAAAATAGATGAAAACTTCCCAACTTTCAAATGAAAGGATCAAATCTAGAGTCAAGAATTTTAGTGAATCCCAGACAGCATAAACCCAAAAAGGCTGATATTAAGACACATCATAGTCAAACTTATGGAACATAAGAAAAAATAATCTTAACAGCACCTAAAAGGTAAATTACAGTATATACACAGGGGAAAAAATCCAAATAACAGGGCTTATCACATCAGAAACTCTGGAAGTCAGAAAGAAGTGACATACAATTATTTAGGTTCTAAAAGAGCTGTCAACTCAAAATACTATATCCAGTGAAAATATCTTTCAGATCATTCTCTGATGAGGAAAACTGAGATAAATTGTCTTTGGTAAATAAGCATATGAAAAGGTGTTCAACATATTAGTCATCAGGAAAATGGAAATTAAAACCACCATAGGACAAAACTATACACCTATCAGAATGGCTAAAATCAAAATAGCGACAATACTAAATGGTGGTAATAGCACAGCTATTGAATTACTCACCTATTGCTAGAGGGAATGTAAAATGATACAATCACATTGGAAAATAGTTTGACAGTCTTCAAAATTGCAGCTACCATATGATCAAGCAATTGGACTCCTAGGTATTTACTTCATAAAAATAGAAGCTTATATTCACACAAAACTTATAGGTAAATCTTGAGTATTTTATATGTAAATGCCAAAACTTAGAAACAACACAGGTGATCTTCATGGGTGAATAATTAAACAAGCAATTACATCCATACTTTGAACTACTTCTCAGCAAAAAACCAGAATGAACTCTTGATACATGCAACCATCTGGGTGAATCTCTTGAAGTATTGTGAGTGAAAAATATCCCTAAAGACTACATAGTCCATGATTATGTATATATATGATTTATTTATATATACATGATTTATTTGTATATATGATTACATATAATCATATATATATTCAGCATTTAGAAATGAAGAACCTATTAATGGTTTTCAGGAATACAGGAGTGAAGGGAGTGGGTGCTGTGGCTAAAAAACAGCCACATGATGCATCCTTGTGGTGATGGAAGCATTCTGCATTTCACTGTGTCAAATTCTTTGCATAATTGTCAATGTCTGACTTTGGTATTGTACTAATGTACTGCTGTTTAACAGCCTATCTAAAGGATTCATTCATTCATAACTGTAAAGTACTAAAAATTGTACACAATAGTAGGCACTCAATCAATACTAGGATAAGAACTTAGATCCAGGTCTCTTGGGTCCCAAAGATAAATTTCATATGGCGTTTACCATTGGAGGGCTCAGGGTAAAAGGCACATGGAATTTATCTTTTCTTTCAACTGCCTATGAATCGACAGCCAAAAATGAAAATTTAATTCAAATATCCTAATTTTTTTTGAAATTTAAGTAGTGATTATATAAGCAACCCTATTTATTTTGCTTATGCAAGGTAAAACATAAGTATTTGTTACACAATTTTTTTCACACCCAGGAAGATTGTATTATCTATGGGGGCTTAGAAAGGTTCTTTCTCCATGTGAAAGTCAATTAGATTCTGTCTGAATAGGTAAAATGCAGTAATAGTGAAGTAAAAAACAAAACCAAATGACAACAAAAATAAGTTCATATGTTCATTCATTATACAACCCAATTATTTACTCCACAAATATTAATCAACAATCTCCCATGTTAAGCACTAAAGATTCTACAAAGTGATGTATTGATGGCCACAGACACAAACAATCCAAGTCAATTAAATGCAATATGTTATATAGCCTTATAGGTGAAGCACAGTTATTTGTGTGGGGATAAAGAGGAGATATAGTGAATGAGATGGGTAAGGTGAAGAGCAGTTAGCCAGGCAAAAGTGCAGAGCCAGGTAGAAAGGTAAGAACAAGGCTGAGCGTGGTGGCTCACACCTGTAATCCCAGCATTTTGGGAGGG